GGCGTATAATGCGATATTGAATGATAAGATTCCACATGGAGAACTTGATTAATTGCTAATAAATAATGATAGTAATGACAGCCGTATCTAGATTCACACGATAAAAGTATTAGCCGGACCAAATTATACGTGTTTAGCGCGCGATAAGAGCAATGATTTTTTATACTCGTAACCGCTGATTTGGGGCACGATAACAACAGTTTCAAGGGCCAGTGTCGGATGTCACGTTCTTTTATTTAAAAGATCTTTAAGTATTATTAATATTTATTTATCTATCTTCATGCCATGTTTCTATAGTTCCAAGGAATATATATATTTACATTATAATATGTATCGCATCTCTACATTTTCATCGTGCCTCCGATCAAACTGTTTATAATTACTCCTCTCCATCCAAAGGTTGCCTGGAAGAGATCGCTTTTAGCGATAAAGTCGCTCATTGTTTTCTCTTTTTGTGATTATTTCTTGTAATTGTTTATATTTTTAATAAGTTTACTATTGTAATCTTTTGGAGGAAACAATAAAAAGTATCTATCTATTTATCCCTTAGGGAATAGGTAGAGAGAGAGAGCTGAGTGTCAAAGATCTCTATTCTACAGACATAGTATCCTGCATTTTCATAACTAGTTTTATGCATGCATGCCGGTCCTAGATGGAGACACTAAAACACTTGCTCAGATAAATAATATAATAAAAATGCTTTTTTTTTATATTCTGCAAATATTAGTTTAGTTCTTCATACATTAAACGATTACTTGAATGACAAACGTGCATAGTGTTAGTCGATCATGCACGGGCTTTTAATGATCATATAATTTTAAAGATAATATATTTAAATAAATGTACTTAGTGTTCATAAAAATTATATATATATATATATATATATATATATATATATATATATATTCTTTATTGCACTTGAACAATACATATAGCGGTTAGTTTAACAACTTGTTAGCAAGGGAGGGCTTATCTCTGAAAGAGATCTCTTCCAGCCAACCCAGTGTAGTTAGAGAGGAAAAACAATAATTGGCGGGTAATCTAGTTGTCTAATGTTTTCCTTTAGTATAATTATTATCTAATTAAACACGTTGTAAATAGTGACACTCCTATTGTGACGTACCTACCAGTCACGTGTAAATGCTTTTACATTTTGTCACATTAATCTTTTAGAAGTAGGTATAAGTTTTATCTATGTTTGTACATGCTCGAAAATTGACTATTTAAACAATTTGCCAATTCTGCAAGTAAAGCTGATAGCACGCACTTGTAATATAGTTTATAGGTTCATAGGGGGTGGTATATGGCAATGAAATTAAAGGATACAGAGGTATAATACATGTGGCACTTTGGGGGGAAAGGGATTGTTATTAATGGAGACTGATAATCCCATTGCTAGCAATATACCCAACCAGGTCGAACTCCTCGCGGTTCCCCCTGGAAACTATCATGGTTAATTCCTGATGAATTCATCATGATGGGCTAACTGGCCTGTTTTCATTCTCATCTATCACCCTTCACTGGTGCTCCGCCAGCGTATCCCGTTAGCGCAGGCGGGGTTACCATACTATTTTTACCCATAAAAAAAACATAGATGTGGCAACACAGTGTGTAATGTCTATGTGTATATCTATAGTATGGTTCACGTCGGTTACAATTTTCCATAATCGTCACCGCGTTGGCCATTCTAATTAAAAAAAAGGGTATTACAGATTTAATTCAGTCAGTAACAGTCAGCTATATACTCAACAGGAGCAGATTCTAGCGTGGATGGTCGCGTACAACGCGGTTTCAGAGATGTTACCAACGCTTAACAAAAGACTATAGCATGGAGTTTTCTTCAGAGTTGGCAATGCGTGCATAACGCCCCTAGTATTGCAGACCTTTATAACGGTAATCGCTTACCATCAGGTAGGCCGTGTGCTTGTTTGCCATCTCTTTGTTATAAAAATATAACACAGAGATTTGTTCGCCCCATTCGTGTTTCTACCTTGAAGCAGTTTGCATGGCTGTGTTTCAGTTTGAAGGGTGGTATATGGCAGTGAGTTTACAGGGTACAGAGGAATAACATCTGAGTCCTCAGGAATGGCAACGCATGGGGGGTATCATGGGCGAAACAGTATACTCTGTTATGTCCACGGTACTGCTCGTGTCTATAGGCGACGGTTACCACTTTCCATGAGGTGGACCGTTAGCTTGTTTGGCATTCTAAGTTGTATAAAAAAAATTATTAAATCAATATACATATATTGTAATAACAATATATAGAATTTATGGTAAATTATCTATCCCTACCATGAATGGTATTAGAGCCCGATCCAACAGGTAGTCAACGTTGAGGTCCCCACCAAACAATGACCCCTTGTCCCCAACAATGGAACCGTCCGTTTCGGTAGCTGGATGGGTTTCTAAATCCTTTTATATTGTGCCATAAGACGGATCATTCATGTTTGAATCTTGTTTACTTTTTTTTATAAATATGTTTTAATATTTTTATGGAGTTACAGAATGGTTATAACAAAACTATTATGGTATAAATTTATAGAACTTAATATAGTTGAATACTAATAAAAATGTCATACTCGTGAACGTGTTCCAGTTCATAAGTCTGCTCAAGTAAATTTGAATTATCATAAAATTAATCATAGTTATAAAATAAGAAGAAATTGTTCTTGACTCTGTTATCACATGTATTGTTTTAAATACACATTTTACATAATAGCATAGAAAAGTTTGAGTACTCGACCATATTATTGTTACCAAAATGCCCTTGGCATGTTTTTTACTACCAAATAATATAAATAAGCAGATAATTTTTTTTTAAATACAATAAGGTAAAACTACCTCTTTGCGGTTCCTCCTGGAAACCATCATGATTGAGGGGGGAGGGGAAAGGGATTGTTAGTAATGGGGTCTAATAGCCCCATTGCTAGCAATATACCCTCTCAAGTCGATCTCCACGCGGTTCCCCCTGGAAACCATCATGTTTAATTCTTGTCGAATTCATCATGGTGGGCCAACTGGTCTGCTTCATCTTCACTTATCATCTCTCACTCGTGCTCCACCAGTGTACACCGTTAGCACAGGCGGGGTTACCATTCCATTATCATCCATTAAAAAAAAGTCAAACTTGCCGGTGTGGTAATATTGTGAGTTAGATGTGCTTATTTCATCAGGCGCTCAATGGTATTTTAAAACTTCAACTTTGTTTACTTCTGAGTTTAGTATAACTTCACGCAATGTTCCCGTGATATCCATCAAGAATTTAAGATAATATCAAAGTATGCGTACATTATTTGTGCCTTGTCTTGATATATAACAATTAAATTAGAAATAAGTACAAATAATTTAATTAATTGAAATTTTAGATTTATAATTTTTATAGGTTCTGTTTGGAGAGGGCTATGCTCAAAGTCTCTTTGCGTGATAGAATCCGAAATGAGGATATCCTCAAATGAATCAAAATAATCGACATAGGCCGAAGGATAAGCAAGCTGAAGTGGCAATGGGCTGGTCACATAGCTCGAAGAACGAGAACCGATGGGGAAGAAAGGTTCTTGTGTGGCGACCGCGTAAGGGCAAACGCAGTATAGGACGATCCCCTAGACGTAGTGACGACTTGAAATGCATTGCAGGGGGTCAGTGGATGCAGGTGTCTCAGGACCGTTCTTTATGGCAGTCTATGGGGGAGGACTATGTCCAGCAGTGGACGGATAATGGCTGAAATGAAAATGATAATGAAGAATAGGCTCTCTTTATGGTATTTTTTTTGATGGGTGAAAATGGTATGGTAACCCCACCCGCGCTAACGGGATACGCTGGCGGAGCACCAGCGAAGGGTGATAGATGAGAATGAAAACAGGCCAGTTAGCCCATCATGATGAATTCATCAGGAATTAACCATGATAGTTTCCAGGGGGAACCGCGAGAAGGTCGACCTGGTTGGGTATATTGCTAGCAATGGGATTTTCAGTCTCCATTACTAACAATCCCTTTCCCCCTCTCTTTATGGTATTATATTTCATTAGAATGACACAATACTTTGCTATGTAGTATTTAACAGGCGCTGTTTTATTTTTTTTCTTTCCTGGTAAATTAACATAAATTAAGTTTTTACCTTACAACATTCCACATTATTGTACTTATTTAGTTTACTATCGCATCTGACTGCACAAACAGCTTGCTGGTCGCGTATTTCTGCTCGCGACACAGCCGTGAACCGCGCTCGTGAATAAGGGCTCCTATTGAGTTAGAAACTAGTTGAGAATCCCTTAAGATATGAGTAAAGTTACATAAATACAATATAATACAGTATGACCCAAGACAGTCGATATTCAATACCATTCCACCTATTCCTATCGTCTTAGTGTTTTTTTCTATCAGGGTACGCTGGCGGGGCACCAGTAAGGGATGATAGGTGAAGATGAAGCAGGTCAGGTGGCCCATCGTGATGCATTCATCAAAAATTAACCACGATGGTTTCCAGGGGGAACCGCGTGGAGGTCGACCTGTTAGGGTATATTGCTAGTAATAGGGCTGGTGTCCTGCAGTGTATACCAATAGCGCAGGCGGCGTTACCATTACATTATCAACTATAAAAAAAACCCTTCAAACTAAAATGCTGCTTCATGACAGAAACATGACGACAGAAATGGGACAGAGGCAAATTAAAAGGTATGCATATGCCAAAGTAAAAGGTATTGCGTATAAAGAAAAAAAAACATTATAGTTCTTGAGGTATTTATTATAGTTATTAAAAAAATGGACGAAAGTAAATTATATTTACAATTAAGTAGAAATATAAAAATTGTTTTACTCTAGAAAATCACGGATAAAATCACAGTTTTAGGCTTTGCTGGACCATACATATTTATTATTATATATACACGAGTATATATATATATATATATATATATATATATATATATATATATATATATATATATATATATATATATATATATATATATATATAATAAGACCAAATAGTTCGTATTTTTTTTTATACAACTTAGAATGGCAAGCAAGCTGACGGCCCACCTGGTGGAAAGTGGTAACCGTCGCCTATAGACATGAGCAGTACCATGGATATAACAGAGTATACTGTTTCACCCATGATACCCCCCATGCGTTGCCATTCCTGAGGACTCAGGTGTTATTCGTACGACATATTATATTGAAGCTATGGAAAATGCTAGCAACGTCGTACTCTGACACTGCGTAACATGTAAATTAGACACCTATATGTAATATTGCCCTTATTTTTCAAATAATTTCAGTTTACCTAAAAAACTAATATATATAAAAGACAAAAAAAAATTGTAAATCACTCACAACCTCTATTCCTTAATAGTCACATTAAAAATTACTTAAAAAAATTATATTACATTGTTAAACTTATATACATAGAATTACAAAATATATTGTTAATAAGTTGTATGACTCAATTTAATAATTCATAAAAATAACATCTGCTTGATCATTGAGTGACATAAAAATTAATTTCCGCTTCTTTTCATACCCAGAATTTTGTAAAAGGTGACTGTAGACGACCATAAAGTTAGCATAAAATTAAGACAGAAGTTCTACTAGAGATAAGAGAAGGCTGTACGGCTTAGTTCCTTTGCCTTTCTCATTGTAAAAAAATTAACCCTACTATTACTAAGATTGAGAAGAAAAATGGGAAAAATAATGAAAAAGTAACTTGTTTTTGCTTCTCAATTGAGAATTCAATTAACTATGAATATATGACTTCGTTCAGACGTCTTTTTAACTTCGACTAGTCGTATATTTGAACGATTAATTTTTACAAGGATTATGTTATTGTTGTGTATCAGTTCTGCGTACGACTGCTTCGAAGCCTCTTTTCTCGTCAGATGTGTACTGAACTATCCGCTGTTTCCCGTCTGCGTCTATGAAGCTGTAGAAACCGCGCACTTTATCGCCGTCTCTTGTCTCTTGCGCTGCTTTGTTATCGCCTGTATTCTTGTCCTGAAATTATAAAATACATCAGTCTTAAATCTTTTATTATAGTAAAGTTGGAAGGGGGGGGGGGGAGGAATTCCACGCGGTTTCTAGTGGAAACCACCGTGTTTCTAGGGCAACTTATCAGATAAAGAAAGAATATTCCAAATTGGTTTATAAATGACGAGGTTCTGAGGTAACATAGCTAAAACAAAACACATCCGAATTGTGAATCTCTACGTGTTTTAAAGAAGGTCGTTTATTACCAGAGATACAGTAATTGTTCTATATCTCTGACTATTACTATGCCGCTATTATTAAGAGAATTCGTGTTTCAACTGTGAAGCAGTTGTGTTTGCATGGCTGTGTTTCGGTTTGAAGAGTGGGATATGGCGTGAATTTACTGGGTCTAATAGGAATAACACCTGAGTCCTCAGGAATGGCAACGCATGGGGGGTATCATGGGCGAAACAGTATACTCTGTTATGTACATGGTACTGCTCATGTCTATAGGCGACGGTTACCACTTTCCATCAGGTGGGCCGTCAGCTTGTTTGCCATTCTAAGATGTATAAAAAAAAAAAGAAAATTGTCTTTTATAATACTACTTTTTTTTTTAAAACAAAAAATTAATTAACAATGTCTATAAATAAATTAATACGATGTGTTACTAGCCACAAATATAATTGTAAATTAATAGTTTTTTTTTTCACCTTCTACATGGCCTTGCGTGTAAACAGTTTACTTTTATGGCACTTAACACGGTGCCTTAAGCACTATTTTGAAATCGGTGTTGGTAGTGCGAGGGACAAGTTCAACGCAAGGTCGCAAACTGGGAATTTTACGTGCGCACACTCATGTACGTACGATACACAGTTTGCAATGAACTATCGAATTTGACACGTCACGCAGTATTCTATTTAGCTTTTAATATTTCCTGATTAATATCTATTGTTTAGGTATATCGATTTTTAAGGTATCTTCCGTGTTCATTATCAAATGACAATAATTGATAATCTTAGTAAGCTTTGCGACTTTTTTTTAACAATTACATTTACTATTATTTAACAATGTTCACTTTTAGATTTTGCATTACTTCGTAGAGCAAAAGTGGGTAATTTCTTAATTAGAATAGTCTTTCAACTTGCTATTAAGACGAGATATAAAAGACGAGTTTTCTTTCTCTTGTACCGTTATTTTGCGCTCATTTCCTTCATTCTCTCTTAGAATATTCTAAAGATGATAAGGAGTGACTTATTATCATATTGTTTAAGTCTAAGTAAAAGTGACATTGATAGATAAGGATGAAGTCAAGTCAGATGGTCTATTGTAACGAATTCACCAGTAACTAACCACGATGGGGTTTCCACGGGGACCTCGTAGAGGTCTCTTTGACGAGACATATCGCTAGTGACATCATGGGGCTGTTAGTCCCAGCACAGATTGTGTTATTACTCCGTTGTCACACTAAGCCTATCTTATGGAAAATTACCTCTCTTGTCGCTAGGTCAAATAGGTGGCAATGATTTATAATCTCCGAACCGAGTATATACGTATAGTTAATGAACATTAAATTGCGTAACGAACCACACCTCCAGCTTGCGTATTATCGTTGCATATTAATCAGATTTCCTACACAATCCGTTTAAGGCTACATCACACGTCGACGCATTCCTCTCCCGTAACCTCCATTGACGGTTACGTGACGTTGAACTTGGACATGCCTCTACGGTGCACAGAAATGTAAATACAATTACGAATTTGCTTACAATAGTCGCAAAAAATGTTCCAGTTTCGTTAATATTTTATAATAACCGACTGTGGTTTTTATAATGTGTTGTGTGTATTGGTGTGTTTCGTTGTCTGTGTAAGTCCAATAACATGCTACAGTATTTTCCAATAGTCGTGGATTCGATTCCTGTACAAAACAAATATTTATATTTCATAGTGTCTCTATTTATGTTTGTCTAAGTGCTTTCTATATATAAAACATATTTACATGAAAAAGTATTTAAGTATTATTATTAGTTCTCTCAATCAACGTGGTCTTCTAGGATCTTCTGGTGGGGAGGCCTAGGTGGGGGCCTCGGGGCCCCTTTGGCCCAGCTTTAACTCCGAGAATGACTGTCCCCGGGGTAATGGCTCAGTCTCTTCTATGTGTTTGAGGCGTGGTATTCGTATAGCTTGTTGGTGGTTTTGAATTTGGAAGCTCTTCCTCTGTCTTACTTATATTTTTTTTTAATTAAACAATATCTTGTCCGGTACGCATAATACAAGCTCTGCTCAGTTTGGACCTATATGGTACTGTATATGGCCCAGTATTACACAGTACCATATAGGTATGCCCAGTAAATAGTGTTTATTATGTATTGTAGTTTTCTAAAAAAATTGTCCCATGAAAATACATTTTCAACTAATTTCGAAAAGGACGTTTTTAATTCACTTGTATTTCTTCTTATGTCTGTTACATCTTAACTCTGTTAATTCTAAACCGATTTGGTAAATTTTTTTAATGGATGAAAATGGAATGGCAACCCCGTCTGCGCCATCGGCATACGTTAGCGAGGCATCAGTGAGGGATGATAGGTGACGATGAAGCAGGTCAGGCGGCCCATCGTGATGAATTCATCAAAAATTAATCACGATGGTTTCTAGGGAAAATTGCGTGGAGGTCGACTTGTCAGGGTCCTAGTAATATTCCTATCCTAGTAATAGGCCTGTTGGATCTCATTATTAACAATCCCTGTCTTTTGTCGGGTGCAATCTTTTATTATTTTTTAAATAGTGTCAACAAGTATATGATTCGACTTCTATTTAAATATCTATGAGTTCGACATATGGCAAGTAGCCACATGAGTGTTGAAAACATTAGAGGGGGCACTGTGAACGTCTCTAGTGAACGTTGTAACAAGGTCACGGTAATTTCACTGCCATAGACGTACTTCAAGTCGCATGTCGGTCCCACATATCATATCACATACACACGCGGGTGTCGTAAGAGGCAATTATGGGAATTTATGGGTCGAGGGATGGACAGCAGCAATTTTTTATTTATTTATTTATGCAACTTAAAATGGTAAACAAGCTGACGGCCCACCTGATGAAAAGTGGTAACCGTCGCCTATAGATATGAGCATATACCACGGAGGTGGCAAACAACATACGGCCCATCTGATGGTAAGCGGTTAACATAGCCTATGAACGCCTGCAATATCAGGGACATTACACACGCGTTGTCGACCTGAAGAAACCTCTTTACCCCGGGGGGAAAGGAATTGTTAGTAATGGAGACTGAGAATCCCATTGCTAGCAATATACCCAACCAGGTCGATCTCCTCGCGGTCGGAAACTATCATGGTTAATTCCTGATGAATTCATCATGATGGGCTAACTGGCCTGTTTTCATTCTCATCTATCACCCTTCACTGGTGCTCCGCCAGCGTATCCCGTCAGCGCAGGCGGGGTTACCATACCATTTTCATCCCTAAAAAAACAAAACCTCTTTATCCCTTTTTTGAAGAACCTCATGTATATTGCATGTTTCTTATATGTCTTTGGAAAACTTTAACAGGGAGCTCAGTCTATAACTTGAGCGTTCGTAAGAGAAAACATCTCTGAAACCGCCCTGTACGGGATCGTCTAGTCTCTAAGATATGAGGGTGAACTCCCTGCCGATGGCGAGCTGTACGATGGCAGAAAGTAACCATGGGCATCGTAATTAAACAATTCCTCTAAGCACAGCCTAGTAATGACTCCGACTATGGCTTTTAGCCACAACAGAATATCAGTGTTTTGCTCTTTTGAGGGCAAAGCAATAAACTGAGTTGTGACCATTTTGTGTTACTATAACACACGCATGAAAAAAGGAAAATGTTGTCTTTATATTTTGCTTTTTTTTGTTGCTTTTTTGTTTTTCATTCTTTTATCTCTTTCACTGTGTATTATGTGTATGTTTGTATTGTATTGCTTGGGTACCTCTGTCCCATTCGTGTTTCAACCATGAAGCAGTCGTGTTTGCATGTCTGTGTTTCGGTTTGAAGGGTGGGATATAGCGTGAATTTACTGGGTACAGAGGAATAACACCTGAATCCTCAGAATTGGTAACGCATGGGGAGTATCATGGGCGAAACAGTATATTCTGTTATGTCCAAGGTACTGCTCATGTCTATAGGCGACGGTTACCACTTTCCATCAGGTGGACCGTCAGCTTGTTTGCCATTCTAAGTTGTATAAAAAAAATCTAACTATCTAATTTTAAAGGCCAACAGTAACACACAAATGGAGAACATTTTGTAATATCATCATTTTTAGTTCAGTATCATAGGTAGGTACTAAATTTTTTTTTAAATTTTATCTCTTAAGAACAGAAACTGCAATTTACCATAGTTGAAACAAAATCTCCCTTTAAGCAATTTTGGTTACTTTTTTCTAAATATTTTCTCTTGTCGAGGCAACTAACTCGTGCATTCTCTTCCAGCCAGCTCTATTCCAGGCCATATCTTTGACCTCCCTACACGACATGACAATTAGTATTTATTCAATTATTTTTTCAATCCAAAACACAATTGAGACAAAACCTTGGTGGTTATTACTATTCCAGCCTTATAAGTAAAAAAGTTCGTGAGCGAGTGTAATCGATTACGACAATGATCGCAGTATCGATACTGTCATTCGATTGTTATTCGAGATCTAAGAACAAGGAATTACATAGAAGAAATGATAGAATAAAAACTGTAAATCATATAGTTGCCTCCTTTCTTCTTATGCAAATATAATTAGTAAAAAGGGGACGAAAGATACACCATCAGTTGCTGTTTTTCTCTATTCACAGCGGTCTAGTGTATAGAAAATGTTTGATATGTACAATTATTTGTCAATGACAAATTTTACATTACTAGATTATATATTCGACACAGTTTATGTAGACAGTATGCAAGCAGGTTGTATCTGAATTTGGTAGGGTTATACGGTCGTATAACATTTTCTATGCACTAGCCTGTTACAAATGAACAATTTTATCACTCTTT